ATATATTTATTAGATAATTTTATTATACATTAGATATATTCATTAGATAATAAATCAACAGATCTTTTCTTACCTTGTGAACTATCCTCCTCACTACGGACGCTCGATCGCGAGGGCATGATATTTTAAAGACGCTGGGACCAGGCCATGGAATCACAGATAGAAGCAGCACTGCCAGAACCTAACAGTAATATATCAGTATGTATTTATTCATAAAAAATGTGTTTCTTCGATATTAAATCATTTTTTTTTTTTTTTAAATTTGCAAATCATTGATTACCTGTCTTACCACAACAAATGGTTACTTCGACGAGTGAGTTCTTCGTGTTTTATATTTACACATTTAATTTTAAACAGCATAATAATGCGTTAATAGCTTTTTTGAACATAACCAAAAGCTCCTTTACCCGCATGCATGATATTTAGATTATTTTAAAGTCGTATATTATACATGCATTTAATTAAAGTCGTCTATTATACGATCGATTATAAATGCTAAACATTAAAGAACATACGAGAAAACGTTACATACTCCCTAACGATATAGAACCGAAGAATATTTTTTCTCAAGCACACATGCATAAATAATGCAATCGATAAAAACGTCACCACTCGCTCATGCACATTAACATTTGTTCCACTATGTCTAATCACAACACAAGATGTGTGTTCTGTCATATACAAAACCTATAAGACCTTCATTTTTTTAGTGAAACGATTTCGGATTCTCCCGATGTGCTTTGGGCATATATAATGGACACGAGCACCGCTAGACATATAAGAGCATGTTACTTACCTCGAGGTGAAAGGGTTGGGTCTTCATTCATATCCCAAATGCTGCGTGCAAGAGTGATCCGGTGTGACGATTACCGCTTCGAGACTGTTTCAGCGTCCGTTTCTTGAGACAGATTGTTTCTTCGTGCGGATAGTCGCCAGTCGAGGCTGTACGTGGGTTGCAACGGGGGAGCACTGCAGGGTACACGTCGACATAGCGGTCACCCTTAGGCGCAGGTTTCAAGCGTATGCAGGGATGTCGCAGTGCTGGTGTTTGTTGTCCTAGGGGGATAGATAGACAAGCAGGTATAAGGGATAATCTGGTGGCTCAATCTGATGCGCCTGATGTATATCAGGAATTTTTCTACAAAAGTTAATATATTATAAACATCTTTTGAATAATAAATTATTTGAAATAACATGTGTAAATACGAAACTAATTTCTTTCCTTATTTTCCTTATTTTAATATATTTACAATGTTTTATGCTATCTTTAAAACGAATAATTTGTATTGGTATTTTAACGGTTTCTTATAGCAATCTTTTTATGATAGTATTTTTCTTTAATGAAAAAACTATTTAAGTACAAATTAAATCTGAAGTTAAAATGCAAAAGAATAAAGCGTTATAAGTAAAGTAAAA